AATGGTTGCAGGATCTCTGTGTTTCTGGTATATGCAAAAGGTTATGAAAATCGAGAGAAGCATTTCTTTATTTAAATGTTTAAATACTAAATCAACCCAAAGCTCTTTCAGTATTATATGCCAGGTCCATCCTGAATTTGCCAAAAAAAAGGTAAAAACTTATTACGAAGGAGTGGAGTGGACAACATAAAAACAGATACCAACATGTATTAGTCATGTAAACTAATGTTGCTTACAGTTTGAAACAGGGTGTATATTTCTTGTGGGGTTAATAATACATTTGTACAATTAAAACACCAATGAATAATAATTCATATTATTTGATAAATAATATGAATCAATCTTTAGCAATTTTTTCAATTAAATCTGGGTTGATTAAAGGATAAGGACGAACAGAACAGGTTTGGAATCCTAGATCAACACCATCAAGCATTCACTTTGGCTTTTTTTCAAAGCTTCTGCAAAGTCCCAAGATTCACTTCTATGCAACTTTGCATTAAGTTTTTCACAAGATATTTTATTGATAAAGGAAAAGTCCAACCACTCTGCAGTGTCTTCTCCAGCACATGCCGAAATATGAAAATTTTGGAATGTTAACATCTGAACTTTTGTGGTCAGGCCATGTGTCGTTTGCTCCCTGAGCCTCTAGAGGAGGACTAGCTGTCTGGTGTTCCGAACCAAACATGGAAAAGCAGCGTTCAGCTTCTATGCACCACAAATATGGAACAAACTTCCAGAAAACTGCAGAGTTCCTTAAAATCAAGGTCAAAATCCACCTTTTTAGAGCTACTTTTGAACTATAACAAATTAAATATCGACTAATCATCAATGTGTATGGATGATTTAGATGATAGCTCTCATCAGAATGTAATGTTTGTTGCTAGTTTTCTCAAATGATGACTGTATGGTGTTTTATATGTGTTTGTATATGGTATAAAGCACTTTGAACTGCCATATTGCTGAGAAGTGCCACACAGATAAACTTTACTGAATGATGGATTGACCTTCTTAAAGAGACAGAAGTCAATTTCAAGTTATGAAATGGTGAAGTCAAATTTCTTCTAAGTTGTAATTGATATATGCAATATTTCTAGTTACTGTACTTAGCTGTAAAAATGGCACCAGGTGGCTGGAACATACGTAAAGATTATGTTTTCAACAGGTCAAAACATTGCTCTACATCTGTCATCTTCCAAAAATAGCTAAAATTATTAAGAATAAAAGTTCCTTTACAGAGTCCAACTCAAGTAGATGTTGGCATATGGCTGTAGATGCATCATTGAGTACATGCATAACCATGCAGTCAGCAAAGGGTATATCATGAATGTCATGTCATCAGTTTCACTTTGGTTAACATCAACAGTGACACTTTCTCCTGGGGGCATTTTACATTCTGGAGGCCACTGAGGTCTCATAAGGTCATGCAACATGTCAAAAGTAGCCTGCAGAAAGTCCCCAGTCAGCTCCTGCTCTCCTTTCAGATTCTTCTGTGCAATGCACAAAGGGTAAGCCATTATCTGGCAAGTCAAAGTTAGAGATAGACTCTTCACCAGGGGAGATAAGAAGAATACATTCAAAAGTCAAAGACAAAGAGGTATCAAATATGTCACTCTGTCATTCAATGCTGGAGACAGAGTTTGCATATAAATGTTAAGATTTCAAGCCCTCTACTGCAAACTGTGATCAAGCTCTTTATTAAAAAAATAAAAAGCATATTGTTCCAAATGTGCATTTTCTTTCTCTGTGTGCATATTATTTTTTAACCAAATAAAAGAAGTTTTTTTTGTATTCATCCTATCTAACTTTGCCAGAAATCTTCCTCAAGGATTACAATTTTCAAAAACTTGTTTAAGTTTAACTTGTCACCACAACCATCAGCAACCTGTTGATTTTTGAAGGGTGTGCACACAGGGGCTTTTACTTTCTGTCATGTATTTTTTCCTTATATTTCTCATGATAACTTCACTACACCCACTGATGGCTCCTTTCTCCAGCAGGCGAAATCAACTAAATCTATTTTTGATCAAATGTTTTGATTTGCAATTCCTAAATTGTTACAGATATTATGTATATCTGTGATATTCTCCACGAGAAGCATGGATAACACAATTTAAACAGTTTATATTACTCAAATCATCCATCTTTTAAATTCTTCTAACTTTTCTTTTATGGATTTTAGCTCTTGATTCCTCCTCTGTGAAATCATTCCTCCACTTTGTCAGGAAAGATGAACTTCAGAAATTAACTTTCTAATGCATGAATAATAAGGCACATTTCAAACAAAGCGTTTACTGAATTTAGTGTATTTAATTCACTTACTGCTTGCAGCCATTATGTGTTATGTGTAATTAAACAAATGCTCTCCTAAAAATTTTTTACAAGTCTGTCAAAAGGACGTATACAAACTAAAGTGTATTCATTTGCTAGTTGCAACCAATATGGGTTATAATGTGTATCAGTTGGTAACACAGTGCATCAGTAAAGCAGAGTGGGAACAAAGGGGGAACTACGATGCGGATGCATTTACCGCTAGCAGTAGTTTGAAGTTTGCAACTGGCTCCAAGGTTCTTTTCAGGAACAATAAATATTTCTGCCATATTGATCAAATGACACCCAGTGCAGTGCAAGGAATTGCCTTGCACCGCACTGCTCTCACAAATCAACATGCAGAATGTTCTCTGTTGTCGTAAATCAGCCGCATGCATCGTTTTGCCTTCTTGTCATGAAAAGGGTTGATGCAGAGAAGAGCAAAGAGAGAGACAGATGTTTTACAGGACATACAGGGTAATGGCCATATCTATTAAGTTGCTGGCTGCCTCCGGCCACCCCCTCTGGCCAAGGCAATTTTATATGCTTAATATCTTTCTCCAAGAGCTTAAGAAAGAACAGGACAAGATGTATAGCTGTAGTACAATTTGCTTGTTTATTTATGAACTTATTTCTGTACTTTTGTTTGTCATCCTTCATAGAACACTGTTTCCAATGTGTCTCATTAACTCCTGGCACAAATTACACTGAGATCAGATGTTTAAGTTAAAAACATTTGATCCTTGTTTGGTCTTGTGACTCTGGTCTTACTCTTGACAGAACTTCACAGATTCTCTGTGTAGTTTAGGTTACAGAGGTTTGTGGCTGGTCATTCACAGTGATAACATGGGCATTACACGGAAAACAGGACATTGACAGAAAAAGTCCCTTTTCTACCCAGCCAAAGTAAAGTCCTCCGAATACCTCAGTGGTGCCTCTCGACATAATGACTCTGGCGGCAGTTCTGCAGTTAACCCTGTTGCCTTTTTCCTTCCACACAACTTTGAATCTATTCTTTTGGCTACAGTATTCTTCAGCAATAAATCTTTAGAGCTTACACTTTAGTAGTGGGCTATTTAAGATGAATGTCTTCTACAGTACATTAAGCATTTCTCACCAGAGGAATTTAAGGTTTTCAGCAGCCTTAGATCAGAATTTATATTCAATTTCAGTTCTGTTTACATAGTGCCGTTTCTCAGCAAATGCTCTCTGAGGCACTCTACAAGAAAGTCATTTCAATTCAATCAATTCAATCACGCATACGTTTCAATCAATGCTATCAAACAGTGCGTGAAACTCAGTTTATTGTTCCAAATTGGCTTAAAAAGTTTCTGTAAAAGGAATCTCAGCAGATTGCGTCGAGTCATTGTGCGGCATCCACTCCCCTTGGATCAGCACGCAGCGACAGTAAACAACCACTTGAAGTGTGTCATTGACTTTACAACTATCCGTCATACCGCGCAGGGCTGCAACTAACAGTAGAGAGGAAAAACACACACACACACATATGTTCGTTTGAATCTATGTAACATTGTTTCCGTGAGTAAATCGACAAACTAAAACAAATTGTGTTTTGTACTGAAACTTTAAAACATGTCTTATTTCGTTGTGGTTCGGGGTTTGCCTTCTGGACCCCTGACAGCAGGGTGTCTGTGACCAGGTTGCGGTAATGACACCTGTTTCCGCTCACTCGCTTCCAGCCTTTCTGTCAACAGGTCAGGTTCTCCTCACAGGTTGCTCTACTTCAAGCCTCAAAAATCACTAGAATCAAGTCCCTCCTTTCGTTTCTCTTCCCAGCGCTGTTGAAGTGGGGACTGGCCGCAACCACTTGCGCCGTCTCTGCGGGGTGGTCCGACTGTCGCTGCGGTTTCATTTATCTGCGGATTTTTGACGACTTTCGTGTGCAATAGCTGCCACGAGAGCTTCCACATCCCCCTTGCTCTCAACCGGCCAATTAAAACAGAATAAGCAGATCGTGTGAGAATTTCTTTCTTTCTTTTTTTTTTATTGTACCGACCTCCCTCCTCCCCCCTTCTCTTACTCAGAGTATCAATCTGATGCTGCCCATCGTTTCCAGGGTGAACCCCCCGCCCCCCTAAGAAAGCATTCAAACGCTGCTAATTAAAACAGTTGAGAGAAGAAGAAGAAAAAAAGCGATAGGAAAAGAGAGGGGTTGCCTAAATCAGCCGTTTGGATTAAAGACAAAAAAAATCTACAAGAAGGGAAATCCAAGGTAATTGTACGTGTTTTCATCTTGAGTGCTATGCGGAGTTAACGGTGTTTTGATACCAGGAGGCCGGCTGGTATTTATGCGCGTATAGCGAATCAATCAGCACCGGTCTGCTTAGACAGCTCCGCGCTTCCTCCCTCCTCCTCCTCCGTATCTCTGCCTCTCTCTATCCGCTCCAGCTGAAACGTTGCTCGGAGCCGCACAACGAGCCGTGTCTTGTCTGCTCGCCTCTCTTTTTTTCTTCCTTCTTCCCCTTTTCCCTCCCGTATCCCTCTCTATCTCTGCGGATCTACTCTTGTTTCATCTCGCCGTTTGAAAAAAAAAAACCTGAAGCCAGACACCAATGAGTCCCGTGAAGTAGTCGTGTCTCCACCGCTGGGAAAAAAAAAATAACACAAGAAAGAAACAGGGGAAAGAAAAAGGAAGAAGAAATCTTTTAACTGCCTTTGCCTCCTCCTTGCAGGAACGATTCTTGGGGAGCCTGGTCCGCGAAAGGATGCAAAACGGTGCTCACAGATGCATCCCATACAAAATGCTCGTGTGATCGTGTATCTACCTTCGCCATTTTGGCTCAGCAACCGAGAGGAATAGTGAGTAGCGTATTGATTTGCTATTCTGTGTGGGTTTGATGGGCTAATGTAAAGGTGAAACCCTGCGTGTGTGTGCGTGCGTGTGTGCGTGCGTGTGTTGGAGAGAGGAAGAGAGAGAGCGAGAGAGATGGTGAGAAGAGAAAATTGAATCTTTGGCGTGCTAATCCCCTTAAATAGTAATTGAGCTGTGCAGGGCGCGTGTGTGGGGATATTTTCTAATTTCTGCTCAGATTTGCATGGTCTACTGTAGGAACATGGATGTGAGAGAGGGTGTGTACATGCTAGTACTTGTGTGGCATGTTCTTATTTTTCCATCAATCAAATTTGTTTAGGGATAAGTTGAAAAAAAAGTGTGTAGTCTTACTAAGATTTTTCCATCAGTGGAAGCAGAAACCTGTAATTTCAAGATAAGGTAACTGGCACTGATGACATGGAGCATTTGATATAAGATCGGATTCTTTTACTGCATCGACAACATTAAACTATTTGACATACTTTGTCACATAACCAGCAGCTGGTTATGTGATGGCTGCAGGTTGTGATTAGTCCACAAGCCCCTGATTGGTCAACACCTTGTACAAAGGATTTGGAAGGGTCTCCAGTGTGCAAATCTATGATATATGTTGATATATTTATTGATATATGTATGAGTATATGTCTGTATGAATGTGTTTATGTGTTGTTGTACATTTGTCTGTTTGGGTTCCTGTTCCTGTAGAATTAAACAATAATACTGTTTTTCCACTCATTGTGTTTTTATTGTTTTTTTTTTTTTTTTTTTTTAATTAAGCATCTATCTACTGTGAAGTAGAAACCCTTATTTTGTGCTGTGGATCCAAAACACACACATATACCTCAAACCACCCAGTTAATTAAGGGGCCTTCTGTGGATTGGGTTTCAGATTGGTGGTTGTTTTGATTGCTTCTCTACTTCAGGCGATGATAAAGATTTACTGTCCTGCATGAACCACGCATACAGCCTCTCACCAACTGGTTTGTCTGTCTTCTCAACAGACTATGGAGTACTCAGGGGTCCCATCTGTGACACTGATAGTTGGCTGTGGTTTGTCTTGCCTCGCCTTGATCACACTGGCGGTCATCTATGCCATCTTATGGAGGTAAATGAAGCACTTATGCTTTAGCCATATCATATGATAGTACATTTGAGTTCTTGTCACATATTTGATGTGATATTAATATATTTCATGTTTTATGAGTAAAACATGCAGTTGAAAAGTGCTAAAGAATAGCTGTTTTTTTTTCTCTTGTATTTTTTTCTTTTAGATATATTCGATCTGAACGATCCATTATCCTGCTGAATTTCTGCCTATCTATAGTCTGCTCGAACATACTAATACTTGTTGGACAAACACAAACCCACAATGTGGTAAGTCTGACGTACAGATACAGAAAGAACAGTTTGGAAAGTGCTTATAGACATGTTTTCCTGTGTTTCTCTGCTTTTACAGACATGGTTAACAAAATAGCACACTTCATCAATTGTATGGTTATAAAGTATATCAGTGTCACCAACCTTTTCAATTATAAAAGCTATTTTTGCAACTATACAATGTGGCTTAAAATAAATAACCAAAAGGTGGCATCCTTTGTGAAATAGAAGTTATTTTTATTCTAGATTTGGCAAAAAAAAAAAAAACAACAATAAACCATTTATCATTTAAAATGAACTATCTTCATTTTGTAGACCTATGTTGCTGTTGTAAATTCTTCACATATTTATCCATGCAGAGATTGCATAAAACTATTCAGAAAAACTGTCAAACCCACTTTTTTCCATTGCCTTTATGATTAAAAACATTGACCCTGTCCATACAGTTTTTGCTCTGTAATTAAGATTCACAACAGATGTGTGAAAGAGCTGTATGTTGAGAACGTGTGGCATTAACCAATGGAGCCTTCTTCATGCTCTTAAATTATTTAAATCTAAACTCAAGTGTTAAAACCATGCATCACAGATTCTGACATGGCATTATTTATTTCCAAAGGCAAATAAAGACGTTAAAAAAATTAAGTACATCACTAACACTAGATGGTTATAAAACTATTTTCTTTTACCATGTATTAAAGTTTTCTTCATGGTACATAGCAGTTCGCAGTCACTTTGAAAGTGTTAGATTCATTCACCTTTTTTATTCAATAGCTGCTTTTGAATGTGTTTTGTTAGTTTAGGAGAAAAAGATTTTTAGAAAATTGCTTTTTGTTCATGCAAGTATTTTTCTACAATGACAACAACAATGGAAGTGTTCTAAAGCCTTGACAAGACTATTATTGGCTTGAAACCTTTCCCTCTGGTGAACTTTATTAGTCCAATCTGTTATTGAAAGAGGTGATTTAAAGGCAATTAAAACTGAGAATCCATAAAGAAGAGTACAATTATGGACATTAGGGACTGTTGAATGACTCTGAATCTGATTTTATTGCGATCAGACCTTGCACACACAAGGATTCACATTTCAGGATCAGTCTAAACCTATTTAAATGAGCAGATGCAGGTTCTGCAGCATATGTTTTATAGGCAGTACTGGAAGAGAACCATGCCATCAGGCATACCGATAACTACAGTTTAAACCACTGTAGGTTTTAGATAGAAAACCAGAGAACTGTAAGTGGAAGACTTCTTCCACTAAAATATCTCACTTTCTTTCTCTATTGTCGTAAGCAGCCAGTAAACAAGTGCCTGATGTAAAAGATTGCTTGGGGAAAAAATTAGTTTAAATTCACAAACTGCCCACACAGATGCCCTTCTCAGTCATTTGGCAGTTCTACAGAAAGATGCATTGTTCAACTACTGGCATTTTATTGTATAACAGTTTTCTCAGTGTCTTTGTACCTTTTGCAAAAGGCCTTTTTTAATTCTGAAACTTATCATTTTTCACTTTCTCTGCATGAATCGATGGTCTTTTAGTCTGCTGCCTTACTAACGTGGTAAACTTTTCATCACTTGGATTCTACTACAGTGCAATCAGTTTAGATCTTAAACATGTCACACAAAGTTTAGTTAGAGCTTAAAATGACACATAGCTACATGCATTTTTACTAAGGATGCAATGCAATTTTACTTGTATTGCAATGATGGTTTCAGTTGTGATTGAAACACATTTTCCTCGATACTCTTCTCCTTTTCCATCATCATGATGACTATACAACTCTGAGCGAGCTTTAACATGTCAGCCACAACAATCTGCATCAATGCAGATCATAAATGCATTGCACTTAAATGATGGCCGCTTTCCCTGCTGCAGTCCAACGTCAATATGGGAAAGATTGAAAATACAATGATTAGGATTTGATATATTAAGTGACTCCTTTGGATCCAGGTGTTTGTTAAATCCATGTGCCTTTGCACCACTAAATACCATAATGCTGATTGGTTGATAAATAGATGCGTTGACCGAAGAAGTTAACATAAAAATCCTACGATTAATCAAACTTTTTTTTATCTCGAAACGCTGCACATTAAATGTGACACAGTTCATATAAGCAGTTACTTGAAACAAAACTGACTCATTTCATGCCAATCATTTTAATGTCAGAAAATATCAGAAACTGCATGAGCTCATCTGCTTGTTTACTGGCCCTTGCATAGCTGACAAACAGTAGTAGCTTATTTCATGAATGTACAATGCCTCAGGACATTTTTTATAAAGCTGAACTGATTTGAAGCCTTGTCAGGTTTAATCAGGCCTCTATTCATCCACCTTTTGTTGATTATAAGAAACATTTCTTAACATGGAACTCTCACACTGCAGGTCTCTAATAGGATGTCTGTCTATAAATTTGAAGAGATGACACACTTTTCAGAAAATCCATGATTGTACTTAAGATGTCATTTTAAAGTGGTTTAGACAGACTCAGTTAGGAACGTTGACACTTTGATTCAAATCCCGTCATTTGTAATGGGCCGACCTTCAACATTTTTGCATTAGCAATAAGTAAAATAACAATGAAATATCAAAGAGATAAGTGATTGCTTTTGCAAAGAAGAATTGTTGTTCATGTTTCTTCAAAAAAAAAGCTTGAACTCAGTTAGTTTTAAAGTCTGGAAAGAGTGTGAAAGTGGCATTGTTTTAAGTCTTGCTACATATTTGCGTCTCTTTTGGAGCCTTAAACATCTTTTCTTCCTGTATTGTTTTGTATTTATTTCCATCCTTGGTGAAGTAAATCATCCCCATAGCATTATACTGTCACTACTACTTTGCACCTTGAGGATGTTCTGTTCCAGATGTGAACAAATACAAATGGATTTTCCAGTTTTCATCTTATGTAAATTTTTTGTGCCAATGTTTACTTTTTTTCTCCTTTAGCTGACTTGTGAAATCTTGATTTCTAATGGTTGCTAGAAGCCAAATGATCCAGTTAAAGTTGAAAAAGAGCACAATATGGTAGATTTATTCAGTCACATTTGTGCTGTTGGAAAAGAACAACTTCTAGGACATCGGAATTATCAACATTTCCACCTTTGCTCCACGTTGAAAATCTGCGGGGAAAAATATTTGAAAACTATTTCATCTGTTTGATCAGATGTACAGTCGAGCCCCATGTTTGAGTGGTGGGGAGAAAACACAGTACCCGTGTGGGTTTAATTGCCATGGTTCCTGACACTGCCTCACTTGTTTTTCCTCCATCTCCTGTAAGAAGTGCATATAATTGGCTCCTCTGTTTGTGAATTCAGGGTTGCTCGTCATCTAATAGAAATCATCTCTTCTCTGTGGAGGTGTCCACTGGGAGCAGGAAATCAGTGAGTCACCTGTGTGTGCGTCTCTACGCTGTTCTGCTGTCTGCCATCCCTCTTTATCTGGCTTTATGGAAGGGAAGGAAGCAGAAAGAAGCAGATTTAAAAAGCCTGGCAGCATTAGGATGAGTGCATAAAACTAAATACTCTAACGAGCAAATACATAACAGGCATCGAAAGTAAAGTAAGAACAAGATAAGAAAAGCTTATTTTTATTAACTGACGCATTAAGAAATTCTTACTCTGCGTGAACGTGGCAAATTATGTTTTAGACCAAATATCTTATTAAAAACTAAAGGTTTAATCAGTTTTAAAAATGTTGAACAGATATGTTTATAAGGATATAATCCTGCATTATCTGATGATTGCAGGCAAGATGGTAAAATGCATTATATTTACAGTGTTTTTCATAAGATTTTAAAAAATCAGATAATCATCTTTTTTTACCTTAACCATAATAAATAATAATCTTGTTTCTTTTTGTTTTTCTTTGTTCCTGTTTTGCTTAAGGTTAAAAGTATTTATGTAATGCCATAAATTTGAGTAATCTCAAATTTCTCTGTAATAGTTACATAACAGAAATCTTCTGGCCATACTTAAATGAGTAATTAAATATGTTTAGGGCTTATGAGTGTCACACATTTAACTGTGTAATGAAGAACTTGATTCATGATCAGCAGAAGTAGTAATGTTAAATGATATATATATATTTAAAATATTTGTTAGCATATTTATGTTAATAACACTTTTCCACCAGCGCTGCCCTTTTGTTAGCTGCTCTTGAAAAAGCTTACCACCCAAACAGGTATTCTTTAAAGTACCAAGGGAGGGTGCTTCAGCCAAAATAACAACCAGCCTCTTCCACCTACACTGAGTCAGAGCATATTGGAATTGGAATTAGAAAGTCACATATATTTTTTTCACAGATATAAAGCATTTTAAATAATGCTAGTCTCTACCAGACTTTCCACAGATGTGTTGCAGATCTAGTATGCCTTGATGGCATGCATATTAAATATCCTGCTTTTGACAAACTGTTAAGTTTGACTCTTTTACCAGTGATATATAAGTCCTCAAGTGCATATTTCAAGCAATGAGTCATTAAACATTTTGAAATAGGTTGTATTCATACTAAGAAAGTGTATGAATATGCCATTATTCATGAAAATCTGACCTTCGTAACAAGCCAACACACTGTAGCAAATAACGAAAATGTGAACTGGAATGAAAATAACACATGGCTTTCAAATGTTTTACAAATAGTACTCTTAAAATGTGGCTCAGAAATGTATGCAGCTTCAATGCAGATTCAATGCATTTCATTGCATCTCATTACAGCTGTCATTATTTGGAAATATACCTCAGTCAGTTGTGTCCATCAGAAAACCAAATGTCCGGGATTATCATGGTACTCTTGGCTCCTTCTCCATCTTCCTGCTGGGGTTTTCAGTTCACATTTGGTCCACAATGTCTTTGCAGTTGTACTCTTTCCTTTGTTGGATGAGATTTGGAAAATTATTCATGATTTCAAGATTTCTAGACTACTACAAACTAATGTTAGCAAACCTAAACTGTGAACAGAATTCTCCATCTCCTTTGGAAGTAAGGTTGGTATACATTGAGTACTTTTAACGAGTACTATCCAACAATATGAATTCAATTAACTACACTTTCTACATTTGTATCCCATAGAAACTGCTTTCTCTCTGTCCATATTTGCTACTATAATCCATCACTGCTGTTTTTTTTTTTTTATCACTTGACAATATAGTTTTAGTTCTTAATATCTGGGAGAGGATAAAGACTGAAAGGTCTTAGCTGAACCTTTGGAGTTTATTGAGGCCACAGAGAAGAAATTCTTCACATTTTCTCCCCTCATCTAAAACTGCCATTACCGAGCTGGCCTGAAGACGCCCCATCACCCCCTCCCCTCACCTCTGTGTCTATCAGCCCTGCCATGTTTTAATATGGACTCTTCCCCTGTGCCTTTGTTTCCATGGATACTGACACAGTGTGCTCAACATCTCCCAGCATTTGCCTTTCAAAAGGGCAAAGTGAACTATCGGCTTATATCTCTTTTTTGGTATGACTGTCTGCACCCAATCTGTGGCCATGTTGTATCTTTCTCTCCCTTCTAAAAAAAAAACAAACAAAAAAAAAACTGTTTTATTGTTCTAGAATAATGAGGCTGGATAGCATAGGCATCCAAGTGAACCGTGAAACATAACAGTTGCAAATGACCTGTTTCCAAGTAACAAGGCAGGCTCTATTTTCAGCACCATGGACAGCACATGAGCAGCAGCCGCATCAAAGCTAGCTTTAGGGGAAAGTCCGAGAGGCAGAACAGCGACCAAACTAACATGGTTTCACTTTTCTTCGATACTTTAAAATCAGAACATAATTTTGACATCACGCTGTTTGTAATGTCAAATTTAGGTTGTCCATTCATGGATAACAGCCAAGGAAAACAGTCTTAACAGCCATGTTAAGCTTTGTTGATATTTTTACCATTATGATGTCGAGTACTTTGTAAATTCACATAGACAAATATGAAAGTGGTAATTACGTAATGATTAATGTTATTTTTCAAGTTCCCTGTCATACCCCTTGATATTGTTAATTTTATTATGTATAATTTTGACATATTATAACCACAAACTTTTAATGTACTTGGGTGATTTTATTTGATTAACCAACACAAAATAATTCTAAAATTAAACAACTTTTGTTCCCCATCAAAAACTTACAGTCAATTGAAAGCAGCTGTTTTATTTTGGAGTTGTCAAAGTAATAAAGAAGACTTCTAACAAATGGGCACTAACCTTTCTTGATTCTTTTTTATAATGCATTGTAAAAATGATTTGTGAACTTTTCCTTACACAGTTATTCACTTGCTATCGGTAAGAGTAAAATTAAGATAGTTTTAGAATTCACAGCACATCTGAGTTCTGGTATTCTGCAAGATTTAAGTTGAAATCTTCAAAGTTAATACATGCATTTATTTAAGCGTTTGTCTACATTGACACCAATGTGTAGGTTAGTAATATCTCTTGAGAATATTGTTTCCAGGAATGAACTAACTGGATTCATGGATTTAGGATGGCTTTCACCTTAGGAATGTAAACTTTGTGGTAGATCTCGCATTATGGTGTGGACAGCCTGGAATGTGAATGTGCTTCTTAGCGCTCTTTGTAAAGTAATGGGATTCCATTTCTTTGCCCAATAAACACCTATTATACTCAAAAAAACCAGGTGCATTGACACGATTTCTAAAATACTCGTGGAGCAAAAATGGGAAAGTGATGCAATGTTGTCAAGCCTTGAAATACCACATATGCACTCTGTTTCTTTTTAAGTAGCTTTTTTCCCCCCTCCTCCTGTCTGTGTAAAACACTTGACCTTGGCTCACATGCCTCCAGGTGGGATCCCCAGCATACTAATGAGGGTTAGTGCAGAGGAATGCTACGCCATCGCTTTCTGTGTCAGCTTGTCTGGCTGGGACTTGAGCTGAACTACCTTCAGCACCTCTGGTGTTTGCAGTTCAGACTGATGCCACGTTTCATTTGTTGCACAAAATGTTTCAAACAAGGTAGAAAAAAATAGTATGAAAGTAATTCATTGATGTTTAAATAATGTAGTCTCTAGTAGGTTGGAAATTGGTTTAAATTGTAGCTCAACTGCACAGAAATCCAAAAAGCAAAATCCCAATATGTCCTTGTTTTATAGACAAAAATGGAGAGAAAATGGAAATGTTTGTGGAAAAGTAAGAGAACCCGTAAAAATACAGATATTTACAAAATACATAAATTATTTCTAAGGTCATTTCTTAATAAACAGCTCATTCTGATGTATCCGTTGTAAGGGAAAAATAAGGTTGTAGAAGGATAAAGGAGATATCCACAGCTTTGAGAGGATTATGGGGTCCATTTAAAAGTTTGAGGGAGTCAAAAGAAGGCACTCTCCACAGATATATCAAGGACACGAGTAGCAGATGTTGCCTCACTTGTGTTAGGTCATTCTTGAACCAGAAACAATTGCAGAAATTCCCCGTGAAGTAAAAGGATTGAATTATGACTCTGGGGACAACATTTCTCTTTTCAAGTGAAAGTAAATGTTGGATTTTATTTGAAAATCAAAGTCCTAGAAGCTGGAGAAACAGGGAAGAAGCACATAATCCATGTCTGAAATCCAGTTTGAGGTTTCCACAGCCAGTGATGATTTGGGGAACCATGTCAATTACTGGTGTTGGTTCTCCATGCTTTCTCAAGTTCAACCTCAGCCTAGCTGTCTACCAGTAAATCTGAGAGCGCTTCATGCCTTCATCAGAAAGCATGATGACAAGCTTGCTGGTGATGCTGACTTCATTTTCCAGCAGGTTTTGGCATCTGCTGACACTGCCAACAGTACCCACACCTGCTTTAATGACCATATGTGTGCTTTAATGGTATATGTGTGCTTGCCTGACCATCAAACTCTTTGACCTAAACACCAACTGGAAAATACTGAGTATTGTTCAGAGTAATACGAGAGAGAGACAGGAGACCAAACAATACAGATAAGCTGAAAACTGCTGAAAAACCAACCTGGGCTTCCTTACCACATACTGGTCACCTGTATGCAATTTAGGGCAGATGGAGTATTTCATGCTAAAGGAGCCCAAGTCAAGCATTTAGTCTATTTGCTGGAAAGTATGTGGTTATCAGTTGAGCAACTGTTGGAACATTAATGTAAATGCTGTGGAGTTTCTTGGTTTACAGGAATATTTACAAATTTGAGAGTTATCAACTATTTTGTGTTTCAGCGGTATTAGAGCTGCATATAAGTGCACATAGTGGATTAAAGGTAACCCACACTCATTAAAAGAAATCTCTGTGACAGTTGTTTTTTTGTTTTTTTTCTTCCCTCAACAGGGTGTGTGCATCATGACAACTGCCTTCCTGCACTTCTTCTTCCTCGCATCCTTCTGCTGGGTTCTTACGGAAGCCTGGCAGTCCTACATGGCGGTGACAGGGAAGGTTCGCACAAGGCTCATCCGGAAGCGTTTCCTGTGTCTTGGCTGGGGTGAGTGAGAGGCTCATTTCACCGAACTCCTCGCGTCACTTCTTATAGCTGCCGTTTTCTCACAGCAGCTTCCGGCGAGGTGTCTTTCCACAGCAAACTGTGCATCTTTTCAGAGTGCTGCTCTCGTCGTCTCTGTAGGGTGGCTGGATCTTCATTCTGTCAGGCTCTTTGTTGTGATTCCTTTGTGCTTCAGTCAAGCTCTCAGAGGACTGGATAAATAGACCGGCCTTGAGCAGAGAGTGTATGTGTATGTGAGAAGGGATCGAGGTGGGGGAGTGTTGGTGCAGCTCTCCTGTACTGTAGCAGGTTGCAATGACCTTATGTCTGATAGAGAGGGTGGAAGCCTGGCATTTACAGTACATTGCAGCAGAATACGGTTTGGGGTTTAAACTTCTAAAATTTAGAATAATTACACACTAAAGCAGTATTTGGTATAAGGAAGTTAAAATTCTATTGTTTATGTTTTGCAAAGTCTCAGTCAATTTTGTTTTATATTCTGTGAAAGAAATACAGTTGATTGTAATCAAACAGCATAACATAATGTGTTCATAGCAGATGCTATTAAAAAAAAAAAAACCTGTGCAAAATATTAGCACATCTGGTAATAAACCCTGACAGGCAAATTATCTGCATCAAAATGCAAAGATTTCTCCTTCATGTGATAAATGTCACTCTGAATCCCGTGTCCAAATAGCTCCTTATTTCAGACTACTGGAGAAATCTCTGCTTAAAAAAAAATCAATCTGATTATGAAAGAGCCCACTCTCATTCTTCTTGTTACCTAGCAACGAACAAGGCTCTCTTAGTCATTGCAGTGCCACTGCTTGCTGCAAAACATGGACAAAGGCTGTTTTACTATCACTTGGACGGCTTAAAAAAGTATTAGCAGACATTTTGGTGAAAGACAAATTACAGGCAAGTAAAATTTAAGAAAAGATGCATTAAAATTATATGAAAAAACAAATCGCACAAAGTCTGAAAAAAACATTTAGGGATTTTGACATGTAACAAAACGGGGGACACTAACATGATCAAAAATCATCTGTGAAGTAACATGCGGCCCAAAGAATACTGTTCATGTCTTAATTCAGCTGGTCTCAGTACAGCACCCACACCGCGCTGTTGCTGGGCTCTGATTTATGGCGTGCTTGTGAGCACTCAGCACACTTTACCTCTTCAGCACTGCAGAGAGGCACAGGATGGCCACGGGGTCTTTGGCTTGTGCCTCCAAGAAACTGATTACATCAATTGCACCTGCCCGTGCCACTCGGAGAGGAAACGCTTTAATATTCTGAGCACACAATAGTGAAGACTGAATCAATTACCACTGATCCATAATGAGGAGCCACATACAAAAAAAACAAAACAAAAAAAAAAACCTAAAAAAAACTATTCCTATTGCTAGGGAACGAGATGGGGGGTTGAAAGAGTGGTGAAATTCCTCACAATACAAAGATGAAGTCTAGCTCTATGGCTTCCTATGTGTGATGCACTACTGCCATTTTGTCAGAGCACCATGCAGTCTTTTTTTCCGTCACCTCTTAATGGGATTTTTACAATATAATGAGTAAAATGGTGAAATATATATAGCTGATCATATACTCTCTGATATCTGCATAGCCTCATGCTGTGGTCTCTAATGGAATCACTTTAGCTGCACTTTGTTTAATGACTGGAAGCTACATCTTTTTTGTGTGCACTGAAGTACATTTATGTTCTTGTGAGTTAAACTGCTCAAGTAACTATTTAATGTTCTCTTTTTTTTTAAGGATTGCCAGCTTTAGTTGTTGCCATTTCAATGGGATTCACTAAAACAAAAGGCTACGGGACACCATTGTAGTAAGTTTTTGCTTTTTTTTTTGCTCCTCTCTTTAATATTCTGCACACAGACACGTTGGGTTCATGGCAACACTTAAGAATAATGATCAAATCCTTCTGGAGAGTCTTACTTATCCTAAATGGAGCCATAAACAAAGTCCCATGAACCCAATCAAATTTCAAAATAGCACAGCAAGACCCCAATTTCATGTGAGCTGCCTCTCTGCTGGAAACCAAATGCATAAACACTGCTTAAAATCTCCTTAGCATTTTATTGCTCTGTGAAACTTTGGGAGTGGAGTAACAACATATGGCACCTCTCCGCTGACAATTGAGCAAAATAACAATGGTGTGCTGGAGTGCACCATTAATGTGGAAGTTAATGCTGTAGTGGGAGTTAATTGTTTTTTTCCTTGTTTCCCCCGCAGCTGTTGGCTGTCCTTGGAGGGTGGGCTCCTGTATGCCTTTGTTGGACCCGCAGCAGCTGTTGTTTTGGTACGTCTTGGTTACCGATGTCTGATGTTTTATCCCACTTTGCTTGTTTATATAATACAATCTACTCAAAAATGTGAATGTATTTGTCACTTCATCAATTATTTTATTAGCAATGAAACACATTTTAACTGACGATAATGTTCATGTTTTAGTCATGATTCAATATGATTGCTGTTTAACTGTGATGTGGTTTCCAAGGCAAAGTAATGAACATTCAATCAGGCCCTGTGTTCAAATAATCCCTATTTATTCACCATATAATAGTCTCCCATGCAGCAATGGGGTTATTAAGTATTTATGATTTAGATTTGTCCAGCGTCTCTTATATGAGGCTAATTTAATTGCCCTATATTTACAAAGTTGTAATTAGAAAATGACCCACAGACTCATCATTATCCAGATTGCTAAATTACTCAGCCAGCAGAAACTTAATGCTATTTTTCACTGTCGTCTTTCCGATCTTTGGTAGAATTTGATTTGAGTGAAGAATAAAAAAACACTTTTTAAGCCATCTTGGCTGTAGTTTTCTTCTGTGATGGACCTCAGAGGAACACAAGCTCCCGTCTGACCATCTGCAGTGAGATGATTGGGGAACGAGGTGGAGGGTTGAAGAGTGGTGAAATTTCTCACAGTACAGAGATGAAATCTAGCTACATGGCTTCTTATGTGTGATGCACTACTGCCAAAATGTCCTTTGAGGAGAACATTTCAATATCTTTTACCAGTGGTTCTTTTTTTTTCATTTGAATGATTTTTTATGGGTTATATCAACACAAAGTAGAACACAATTGTTTTTTGAAGGTACAAACCGAAGTATGATATAGGTGTATTTCTATTACCTCTGTATTTATTTTGGGTCAAGATTAGCACTTTTTTGCTATTCTTCTAAAGTACAGTCAAATTAAATGGAGAATGTTTGGAAGCAATGCTACTCAAATACTGTTAAATACTCTCAGATGGATTTTGGTCTGAACCTTGACTTGGCTATCCTCACTGCCAAATATGCTTTGATCCAAATAGTCGCAACTCTGACTACAGTTGCAACTGTAGACAGCTGTAGCAACAGAGCTGAGAGAAGCTGTGTTGCTGAAAGGTGAATCTTTGCCCCCTCATCTTAAATCTGTTGCATTTATCCTAAACCATTCCCCCATCAGCTCTAGACCTCAACTTGCTAAGCTAAATTAACCCCAGACCAAGATGCTGCCACCTCCATGCTTCAGCTTTGCATTGATGTATCTAACCTGTCATTTTAGGTGGTTAGCCATCTCTTTCATCTCTGGGTTTGTTGTCAAAGCATACTCTTTTTTTTCTAAATCAAGCAGTTAACATTTCTCCATGAATAATTTAGAGCTCAGGATATTAATTTATCACCCAGCCATTTGTCTGTTCCCTATCTTCGTCATGTTACTCTAACCCATAAAATTTCCCGAAAATAAACTGAAGTTTGTGAGTGTGATGTGGCCAATCTGACAGGCAGATTTTTTTCTTCAGGGTACTGGGATGGGATGAGTGTGCAAGCCATGTCTCACCCATTGCCTGAAATGTCAGAGAGAAGAGCAAACAACAGAAACTAGAGGTCAAAGCTCTTTGAAGAATAATGACATCAGTTGTCTGAGTCTGCATATTCTGCTTTCTTCTCTTCTAACAGGTCAACATGGTGATCGGTATCTTGGTATTCAATAAGTTAGTGTCCAGAGATGGAATCCTGGACAAGAAGCTGAAGCATCGTGCAGGGTATGACAGCACATCCTTGTTAGTACCAGTTTTTCTTCTTCATTTTTGAATATTCACATTTTTCAAGTACAGTCATATTCAATAAATTAGAATAGTTGTTCCAGTGAAGCTTGTTTGTCAAAATAAAAGTAACCTTTGAAAAATAACGACCTTTAAGAAGGCATTAAACATCATTTCTAAACATGTGTTTGTTGGTGTGATGTAGTATTATAATCTTAAATATGTTTTCATTTGCTGTAAGCACAAAATTACCATAAAATACCAGAAAGAAAGGATTGAGTACTGTGTATTATTAATCCATGTAATGTGTTTCACCAAGTGGAGTTACTGAAACAAATTCTAATTATTTGAATATGATTGTAAAAATACTGCATGCTTTGAATATTTTCATGTACATATTGAGATCTGTACCTACATTTTTAATTTATGTTGAAAAAAGATTAAAAAAAATAGAGGCATAAAGAGGTTAGTTCCCTCCTGGGAGTGACACGGCTTTGTATTTCTCTGGCAGAATGAGTCCAAGATGAAAATGACGTTAACACCCACACAATCACTGGCCATACTGTTGCTATAGAATGAATGATGGAGGAAAAGAGAAGTCAGGTGGATGTCAGAGTTGTTTGTCATGATGTTGTCCCAATGTCTCTTGTGTCCCACAGACAAATGAGTGAGCCACATACAGGATTAACTCTCAAGTGTGCCAAATGCGGTGTTGTATCAACAACTGCTTTATCAGCAACAACAGCAAGCAATGCAATGTAAGTGCCTGTCAGTGTCTGTGAATCAATAAAACGATGCTGCGGGGAGTTTCTTTATGTACAGGGTGTCCACTGCAGGGTGCGCTAAATTCAGTTTCCAGATGCACCCACAGTACCACAGAACTAGTGTGGAGGAGCTTTTGAAATGAGCTTACATAAACATCAGTATGCAGAGCAAAGCCCCACCATCATTCTGGAGGAAAGAGGTCATCATGGAGATTTAACTCAGATCTCCAGACCTTATCTCGTTTGTCTCCTGCACAAAATCCTTCCTCTCTTCTTCCAGGGCGTCATTGTGGAGCTCCTGTGTCGTCCTACCTCTGCTGGCTCTGACCTGGATGTCCGCTGTGCTCGCCATGACAGACAAGCGCTCCATTCTCTTCCAGATCCTCTTTGCCGTCTTTGACTCCTTGCAGGGTTTTGTCATCGTGATGGTGCACTGCATTCTACGGAGAGAGGTAGAATCAAGCCGCCTTGTTATTTCTTTACTACTGACATGGGATTTAAAGGAAATGTCCTGCTGGAACAATCAAATCTGTCAACGTTTGGATAAGTAAATTTATTCACACTGAATTTTTTTCTCGGCTTTAGGTGCAAGACGCTTTCAGATGCCGGCTCAGAAACTGTCAAGATCCAATCAGTGGTGATGCAACAGGAACCTTCCCTAATGGGCATGCTCAGATAATGGTAGGCACTGTCACCCTGTTATCTGCAGTCATTAGAGAGACTGATATTTGACCCAATGTTCCTTTGTTATGTATAAAACATTTCCACCACTCTTTTTGTTCTTTTTCAACCTTGAATAAACTTATTATTTGCTTTTTGTATTTCTATTGTCTTATTTTTGTTCATATTTTTGGTTTTCAACAACTAGACATGTAACATTATTTTCCCTAGATTTAAAAAAGAAATATCACAAATATGCCACAACATGCAGGGTAAAACTTCTGACCATAATGAAAGTCATTAGTTTTGTTTTCCTTTCAAAGTCCCCTGGTCTAATTGTTTCTTTCTACTTATATTTTCCCTCCCATCTCTTTCTTTTTCTCTCATGGGACAGCAGGCGGCTGCTACCCTCCCTGACCTTTGAAACAGGGCAACAGTATTTTGATGTTGCACAGTCCCACCATTGGCAACCCAAAGCAATGATCTCCGATTAAGATTCTCATAGCCATTTGAGTGGTACAGTTTTCACACATTAGCAGAATGGTGTCAAAGCTGCTGACATACAGCCTGCTAGCAGTGAGCACAAAAGCTTTGCAACTGCTTCAGCTGCATTTATTTTCCTTCCTTGAAGCAGAATAGAAGAACTAATGTTGTTTTGGCTACTTGGAAATAATAATAATAAATGTTTTATATTGATTTTTATAGCTAGCTACAATGAGTTGTCACTTTATTTTCTTGCATAGCATGTAGCACCTGTCACATTTATTGGCAGGTCCTGGTTAAAGACGCATAAAAAACTTTCAAGTAAATTCCTCTTATTGTAGAACCATAATTCTATTGCTGCAGTAACAATGAAGTGTTTGTATCTTTGTCACATGAAATTTGAGAGTTTTGACCATTTATACCAAGTATTGCATGTGGTGGAATGCTAGAGTGTTAATTTTGACAATTGAAACAATAAAATCCGGTGTGCTTAGCTGAGCAGTTTAGATTTGAGCACTGCTTAACTATGCCAATCTAGTTTTGTATGACAGTTTATTGTTTGCTTGAAAAAGAGAAGAAGAAAAAACACAGCAAGGCTGCCAGATATTATTCTGCTGCTGTGAAGAAGTAAAATATTAATCCACCCTGTTTGGAGATCTTTTTATGGATGTGTTAGTCTTAATAGCTGCTATATATCTGTTGAGTCATTGCAGGAGAGGCAGCTGATATTACTGTGTGTACATTTTTCCATAAATGTTTTTTGTTTTGTTATGTAGTTTTTAGCAAACTGTTGAAAAGATGTTAAAGGTTGCCTTTTTATGTATTTTTTGATATAGTTAAAATCCTTTAGACAGAGGCTAAAATGGCTCCCTCTGTTGTTTCTTGTGGGCATTGGAATCATCTCAGCTCTAGTGTTAAAAACATTTTGACTGTATATTTCAGCAGGTTTGGTGAATAAGTATTTTCTTGAAGTCTTTTCCTAATTCATGAAGACACCCTAAACCTCGAATAGCATGGTCACATTTTTCAAAATTCATTTAAGTTGTACTACAGTACTATTTTTGTTCATATACGATTGCAACTAAAACAAAAATAGTTAACTTAAACCATTTAAAATCATGCTACCCAACTGCGCACATAAATGTGGAAGGCATTGTTCAAAATATATTGGTGAAACTTACCGCCGACTGTTCTCTTTCTACAGACAGACTTTGAGAAAGATGTGGACATCGCCTGCCGATCAGGTATAGAACATATGGTCTCTTACTAACAAGATTCCCCTAGCTCTGGTTGAAAAAGGTGTAAACAGTAAGAAAACAGCTCAGGTTATATAACAGCCAACACAACCCCACAGGAACTTTTCACAGTTCTGAAAACACCAAACTTTATTGTGAGAACAAAACATCAGAAACAAAACTACTGGAGTGCTCAGTATTTTTGTGTGATATTTGTTATGTTTCTCTTATTTACAAATTAATTTTATTGAAAGGAGATAGGATTAATCACTAGAAACGTTAAAAAAATGAGAACAGTCAACAGAAAAAGTATATAAGCTTCCCCCAATATAAATGAGAGTAGCAACGTGCACTAGACTGAAGCATGATCTATCTCCAGTCTCTTATAAACCAGTGAAGAGCACATCCTAAATGGAGCTTAAAGGAATTACTATGCTGACCATTATTCAGAGCTCAGCGAGATACTGAAGCTAAAGCGGTTGTCTGGCATGCTTGACTTACTTGGTGCTGTCTTGCGAGCTAAAGTGGATGTGCTGTAGCAGGAGGCTGAGCTGACAGGTGTCATTTATAAATCATGACCAAATTTGAGACCAAATAAAAACTGTCCAGAGGTACGTTAGAGGTACAATAATTCTGTCAGTCTGCAGTTTTTGTTTGTTATGACAGTGAAAGAAAACAGTTGTTTAAGAATAAAAAAGTCCCGCAAAAGTATTCATTGAGTGCTTCTAAAAAATATTCAAATCCTCAAATGTTTTATCCTTTTTTATCCAATCCCCAGACTTATACTTTTTCATAACCTCATGTCTAATTTGTTTTATTTTGTCCGCATGCTGTAATGGCAGCCAGGAGCACTGATTACACAGTAGCGTGACCTTCCAGACACAAGTGTCTTTATACTACAATCACTTAAGACACGGTCACTGCACTCTGGTGTTCTCCATTCCACTCACTATGAGACTACTAGCTCCAACTGCCTGGCTTTGTTCAGTTAGGTAATTCAGTTTAAAGGGCGTGAATAGTTAGTCACATGTTTTATTTAAAAATATTTTATGTCATTGTTTTTATTTTGTAATTATCTGTTTTTTGTCAAAAAAAGGCACATTTTAAGTGTCGTGATTGCTTTGTAAACACAATAAATTTGGTAAATATCCAAAGGGTGAATACTTTTGAAAGGCAATTTACCTATTGGTGCGAATCGTAGATTGCCACCAAGACAATCTACAATATATTTAATTTGCATTTGCATTTGCAGCACCAACTCCTTTCAAAAGTCAGACTGTGAAAGTCTTAAAGTTTCATGCAGGGAGAGCTTTTCTGAGAAGAAGCAAAGAGCTGCGAGAGAGTTATGGCTCGAAGTGTCAGAAGGAAAACTTTTGGTCATAATATGAACTTTGTAAAAGAATGGCAAGAAAAATAATATATTCCCTCCACTTTGCAAGTATGCAGTATTTTGTGTTATTTTGAAATGTAATATCACAATGAAATACATTAAAGAATCAATATTTTTTTGCAAATCACTGGATGTGGTGATTTATCAGGTCATCACCAATGACTAATGTAGCATTAGTAAACATGAGGGGATTTTAAAGAGAGAATTAAACTACTTTCTTATTTACAGCAACATTGTCTTGAGATTTCAGAGTGTTGTTGTGTCTTTTTGTATTTACTGTAATATCACACTCAGCATTTTCATGGTTACTCATTCTATGAATGATAAGCATGCAGTTTTCCCTTGACTCTACAACCTCCCCTAAAGATCAGTAATATTGATTTGAATTTTGATTGTTCTTTTGTTCTCATTTTGCAAAGTTTAAGACATTAAAGTTTCTTTTGATTAGGCTAACAAACTAATTTCTGTATCGCCCTGCCCTCCAGCGCTCCACAAGGACATGGGCTCGTGTCGTGCCGCCACCATAACAGGCACACTCTCCCGCATTTCCCTCAACGATGAGGAGGATGAGAAAGCGCCTGAGGGCCTCAACTACTCCACGTTGCCAGGCAACATCATCTCCAAAGTGATAATCCAGCAGCCTTCAGCTTTGCACATGCCAGTAGGAATTGGCGACCTGAAAGACCAGTGCATGTCTGACAGCAATGCCGACATGCGCCGCACAGTCTACCTGTGCACTGATGACGGCATGCGTCAGAGCGACCACGACATGGAGGCCCGACAGACGCAGGGTCAAATGATGGAGACGGACTACATAGTGATGCCTCGCGCCTCGGCGGGTGTAGTGTCGGGTTCGGCCACCCTCCCCACCCTTATTAAAGAGGAGCCCAAGATGACTGCTGCCATGGATACGCTGCCCCACGAGAGGCTAAAGCATTACAAGATAAGCCCTGACTTCAATATCAACCCGTCAGGCATGGACCACATGAATGTGAACCTAGAGCACCAGTATCCTAGTGCTCCAGAGCAGATGCAAACCCTGCCCTTTGAACCTCGCACAGCTGTTAAGAACTTCCTTGCAGAAATGGAGGAAACTGGGGGCCTATCTCGGAGTGACACTGGCTCCACAATATCAATGAGCTCCCTGGAGGTACATACTGTCATGCGGATTGAACACAAGCAACACCAAATTCCACCTCACCAAATATTTATCTTATTGTTGAAGTGTTCTGATGACTTACTAAGATGACTCCTTTTATTTTTGTCCTAACAGAGAAGAAAGTCGAGATATTCCGATCTAGACTTTGAGGTATGTAAAAAAAAGATAAATCTTTCTGAAGTTGAGCTTATGTATAAAAGGCTGTTTTGCGGTTGCGTTAGCCATTTGATTTAGTAGTGTCTGTTGTGCCTCTTAAGCTTATTGCTGTAGCATAGCCTTGACTCATCAGGATTTATAGACTTACTGTGTAGTTAAGGTAAAAGCAAGGCTGTCAGCTGACAAACAGGGCAGTAGCTCTCATCAACATTTTATCCTCCTCCATCTCCTTCATCCATTAGCTATATGTTGATTTTCAAACTGTATGCTTTTAAAGTCATTTGCACATTTCACATCTGATTTTATCACTGGTCAGCAATTAAAATATTGGTTTGCAAGTACATAATCAAACCCCCTTTGGCAGATTTTTAGTATTTTCTTTTGCTTTGTCAAAGCTTTACTGCATATATATTTTGTAATCTCTGTCAAAACACGGGAAACATGGTGCTTCCGGCAGCTACTTTGGCTCTGGTTGCGTTTTTAGCTTAGATTTATACAAACACTTCAAATTGGAGATTTGTGCCAAAGTTTATCAAAAGAATTTCCTTTACACCAACAAAACCCTAAATAAGGTGATTTATCACAAAACAATTATATTATAGCATTAGGTGTGCCTTTCTGTCTTAAGTTATCTCTGTGTTTCCTTTATTTTGGCAGTTATTCTCGTATATGCAGAGGAAAGTAAAGTTGTTTCAGACCTGGCCTCTAAGTAAACTACACAAACAAATTGATCAAAGGTGGAGGGGGTGGAGAGGAAGATGCATTTCCATTATTGGCTGTCAATACCAAAGCAAAAACCCTTGCCATTGCAGAAAGTCATGCACACCAGGAAAAGACACATGGAGCTGTTCCAGGAACTGAATCAGAAATTTCAAACCCTGGACCGATTTCGAGACATACCAAATATGGGCAGCATGGTGAGTAACAGGAAACCCAGGGGGGTGGCTGTCAGCTAAAGAAAGAACTCAACATCCAAATGATCTATTTAGATATTTGGTGCAGGACACATTTACGTGTGATTGTGCAAATGAGTGGTTATGTGGCAAAAGTGTGCCTTTCTACATCTAATGTGCCTGCAATCAGCAGAGGGGCTGCCTCTTAAAAGCCTTGAAGAACAAGGCAAGTCTCAAGAAAAATAAAATAACTGAAAAACATGATCTTTGGCAATTTAACTATAGTGGAGTGCATCCATTCCAATGCAAGGCCATTAATGCACTTTTCTTTACATGCACATTTATCTACGTAGCAAACCCATCATTTTTTTATTCATTAATGCATGGCAGATTATTTATTATATCAGCAATTATGTAAGTATTAGCCTAATAAGGGGAGTCTCTCTCTGCAACTGTGTGGGAGGTGGGATTTGACTCCATTAAGAAGTCGGGCTAATTATGCAATACCTCATGACCTTGCTGCAAACCAAAAGGCTCACCATCTGTCTACACACCTGACTGGATATGTAGACAGTGGGGACATCAGACTTAATCCATCTGTTTGAGATGAGCCCAGCCTCTTTTTTTTCAAACACTTAAGCCATATCAGATACAGCTCTTTGAATATAAATTACCTCTCTTTTTTGCTCTTTGCCTCACTTCAACATTTCAAATAAAGTTGATACCAAAGATAACCTGAGTAAATACAAAAATCTGTTTTTAAATTATTTAATTTACCAAAGGAAAGAAAGTCACCCACCCTAATCTGACTCTGTTTGAAAAAGAAAACACCCCTCCTGTTAAATAACAAAACAATGGGGGTTAACCATATTTTCTTGGGACATTTGTGCTCAATTTTATTATCTATGACATGTAGAAGCCATTTATAAGCTCATGGGATGCCAATGAACCACAATGAAGGTTGCTATCTATCAATGGGAAAGACATGTAGGAATTAAGATCCTTCCCACAAGATTGCATCAAGAGCTTATCCATTCGATCACAAAAGATGGCAAAACATCAGCTCAGGTTAGTATTCATAATTCAACAAAAAGAAACAGACTTGTTAAATACATTGTGCATAGGATAGTTCCAAGGTCGAAACAATGTACTGTGGAGAGAAAATACAATATAAACGTGAATGCTTTGGGGAGATGGTTCTCTAATTTATTCTGTTGTAAAACTAGAATAGCGATGCAGAGAAGAGCAAAGTACTGTTATTGTAGCAGCAATATAATGGACTTTGACTGCAATGCTACTTCAGGACCTACACTACTTCTCCTAACTGATGGAACCATAAATTCTGCTCCCTACCAAAAAATCCCAAACCATTAGTTTGTGGCATTAGGTTCGAGCAAACTGAAGTGAGACAATAACCTGAAGTTGTCACACAAGTCCACCTCTGACTGACTGAAAAAAACAAAAAAATAGATAAGCATGCTGTCAATGCTTGAAAATCATCTATTGTGACTGAATTCTGCAAAAAAAAAAAAAAAAAAAAGGCCCAAATTGCTCCATAGCGAAGTAAAGAATTCAGATGACAAACACTTGTTCTCACCTTGTAACTACCAAGAGTGGAACAACCAGTTATTGGGTTATTTGGGTTTATTGGGCAATTCAGGTTTTCACAGAAGAGCCATTTAATTTGGGCAGCTATTTTGTCATGCGAAATTAAATCATTATTACAAAACTGCATTTTGCATTTACTCAGGATATCTTTGATGTCAAAATGTACCTGATGATATGAAACATTGAGGTATGACAGAAAAGGAAGAACAGGGAAATATTTTTTAAACTACTTTACATCACTATAAATAGTAGCCTTTTGACTTCATACTACCACCCTCCCAGTTTTAGTCACTGCTGCAGTACAATGCAGCTTCAGGACCGTTGCCTAGTTACAGTGCAAGTACCTTTTTTTATTTTTTATTTATTTATTTTTTTTGTAGAAAACGATAACTACTTACGTCCCCTATTTTCCTTTTCCCCCCCCAAATGAACCTATTGCAGAGCTGGCAGCAAACATTAGTATCCATTTTATATTCTCTGATGGGAAGCCGCTTCTTTCCCTTATTTGCACTAATGTCTTTGGGACTGTCAGTGAGAGCACATTCAGACGAATGAATGGCTCACACATGCAACACATCCAGCGCTCTAGTTTATGAGCTGAGGAAAGCAGAGATCTGTTCCATGTTAATAGTACGCATGTTCCCATTTAATACACTGCCATTATCTTTTTGTTATTTGATGCTTCTTCCAGCATTAATTCATTACTTTCAATTAGCAATGCTAGGAACTCATATAATGCCCTTATGAATGAACTGACCTCATTGGAAAAAAGTGCATTTTTGAGAGACAAGTAGCAGTTAAGCTGCTGAGGATGTCATGCTACTAACAACACCTGCTGTTGGCCGTGTTTGCAGGACAAGGCAATGCCAAAACAGAATCCATGGGAGAGCTACAATCCAGCCTGTGAGTACCAGAACTACGCCACTATGAATGTACTAGAATCCGACCCCAAGGACTCACTGGAGATGACGGCTGCAGAGTGGGAGAAGTGTGTCAACCTACCCTTAGATGTCCAGGAAGGAGACTTCCAGACAGAAGTGTAAAGGGTAAAGAAGATGGAGGGGGAAAAAATGCAAACTTGGAAAGGAGGAGAAGGGGATGTATTTTGCACTGATTAAAGCAACAGACTTTTCTAACAGCCTTGGCAAACATATCTGGATCTTACGAGCGTGGCAGGGACATAATGTGCCAATACAATATAAGGACTGGGGAGAGAGGAAAAAAAGAAAAATAAAAAGGGATAAAAACATCAGTGTTACTTTTTGTATTCTCACTAGTGTACTTAGTGTGGGGCAGCCTGGTGTACAATATTTACCATCCTGTGTTACCAATTATCTGTGGAGGAATTGGCTGAAAAAACAAAAAACAACAAAAAAACTCTCTTAATGAAACCTCACAAAGCAAATGACATACCATGTCGTCCCAGCTTCATCGGGTCCAGTTTTGATTTCCTAAAACTGGATCTGGGAGCACAATGTATATATTTATGCAGTTTTTAAAAAGTTTATAACAGTCGGTTTGGCCATTACTACACTTTTTACTTTATAATATAAAAACATGGGAGGCAAAGAGGATTTTTTCCTGTCATATTAAAATGAATGTTTGTCAAGCTACATTCTTCATTGCTTTAAATGCAATAAAGATAATACTCACTTTTATATAAATAATATATTTCACAACTTTAATACTGCAGAATCTGCTTGAAGGATCCCAGCAAGCTCTCTCATCTGCAGCTCTGTATAAAATATTTAAAAACAAAAATGTTGTATGGTGTAAATAAACTTTTGTCTACATATGTTTTACTTGTGCCAATTTATTTTAATGAGGAAAAAAAATGCCAACTTGATCAGAAGATATAGCGAAAAATGTTAACATTTGAAAAGGAATGTAAATAAAAGAGGAAATATGTTCGTACTGCTTCAGAGGTCGTGTCAAGTTTATGTTGTGTGTTGGTTGTCAAATGCATCACTCACCTTGAATGAGACATTATCTGAACGAAATGAGTATCACTGAAGTAAACATGACTTACGTTAGCTACACACATGCTAATAGTTATTTAAATGGGAAATGAAATGAAGTTGTCGTGTACCACTTTTGAGCTTCCTGGATGAAATGTGCTGAAACTGTTATATCAATTTGTAAAATCAAATTGATATAAAAAGCAAAAACATAATAGCTGTCTAGTAGCTCATTTAAATTATTTTTATTGAACAATATGATCACAATATGATGAACTATTACAGTAAAATGGGCTGTTTATTAAAGCCCATCTAGAGAGAAGTTGCAAATTAGCTCATGGTATAAAATCTGTAGTGCAAATAAGTAATTAAAAGTCAGCATAAAATGAATTTTCTGAATTTTGAACATTAAATAATAGGGTGAAATTACATCTGATTTTATTTCTATAAATGTAAACTTGGTGACATTAACATGTCCAAAATAATCCAAACGCAGTAGCAGAACACCTTGTGGCGAACCTAAATAATAAATATAAACTCAGACATTGGTCCACACTGTATTCAACACACATGCCAAACAGCATGTTGTTTCTTGAAGAATAATAGTTAATTCATGTGATGGGGATGAACAAAAGCTATGCTGCTCTCTTGAGTTCATGGAAAACACTGTTTATTTTTGGAGCGCTCCCTGCAGTTCTCTTTCCAAATACTGGAGGCACTACAGAGAAAATATCATTTCACTGCAGGAATGTTAGCACTAAATGAGCCTGAAGCAACCTAAAAGAAAAGAAAAAAAATCTAATGTTTGCAAATATTTGAAATTCAAAAAAATCTGTCTTATCATGATTGTTTTACTGCTGCTACTCATGCAGCAGTAAAACATAAGTTCATGAACCAATACAGTTCAGTTAATCCTACCACCCTTAATTTACAATTCCCCCTTTTAGGACATGTTTTATTAAAGAATATAATAGGTGTTGCACATCCACCTATGTCAATTTCCTGTGTCAGTAATCATCAGCTTCTTTGTAAATAATTATCCTGTGCAAATGTGATGACGAGTTAAAGGATTGTGTTAACACGATAAAAGCATACTTTGGTCTTGGCCACTCTGACTAGTTGTTAGCCTCATGCTTATGAATCTGGATCAGTAAGTACTTATAATCTATTACCAGAATAGTGCTTTAAAAACAGAAATATTCCTTTAAGAAAATTTATGATCAAAATACACCACTGCTTGAAAATCTCACTCTTTAAAAAAATAGATTCTGTTTAAATTTGGACAGATGGAACATTTCAAAAGGTCCTGAAGAGTGTCCAATAAGGCATCTGCTATATTGACTTTTATCTCAGGTTGAATCAGTGACTTAAAACTTCCAATCACAGTGAAAGATTTGCTCTGTACTGTTTTCTGCTTCTCTTCAATCCACCAACTATATTCGATTTCCAAATGTGGCTGGGAAACATTTAAACCCCTAATATGTTTGTATGCCTCCTGAAGGACACAAACACAGCTGATAAGATCAGCTTCCTCAGACAGACAGGTCCACACAGAGCTCTAATGGGAGGAAGCTGCCAGAGCTGAGGGAAAATCTTGTTTGGTCTGTCTGCTGGTCTGTGCATGTATGGCGATGAGAGAAGCAAGCATGTGCTCCCTTTTCCATCTGGGATCTGGGGATCCACCGAACAGGAGAAAAGGAAGTGCCTGAAGAAGTGGGAGGAGGAGATAGTTGCATACAACTATCTTATAAGGACAAGAGAGAAAAGACGAAGAAACAGAGAATGATCCCTGGTGGACTGGAATGAAGACTCTGGAGTCCTCTAACCTTGTCTGCACACAAATGAAAGTGATGAAATTCAGAGTTTATCCAGCACAATAACGTCTGAATTTACACTGCCTTTCAATTTAGACTGCAAGACATAATTGGGTTAATTATATTCACTACTGTTATTAGCTTTGTCACAGTGTTTTTTTTTTGTTTTTGTTTTTATTATACCAATATCCTACAGCATGTGTCAAACTCAAGGGGGCTAAACATATCTATTAGTTTATCCTTGACCTATATGGTAAGTTCTTCAATCTTTGTGATGCTGCTTGCTCCCCTATGTTTCTTTCAAATGACAGAGGCCTTCATAATTTTTAAAAATTTTAGAAAGCAGATGGTTTCCCAGCGTTTCATTCTGAAATATCAGTGTAAATGAGGCTGAGAACAAAATACTTTTCAGGTTTTTATATGTAAAATAGTTTTGACATTGATATTCATGTATTGGCTCCCTTTTACTTTACAATTTGCACTGTATTGTGTTGGCTTATTACATAAAATAAAATAAATTAAAACATTGACTTTTGTGGTTGGTATAAAATAAAATAGTGAAGGGTTAAAAATATCTTTGCAAGGCATTGATAACCATCAGGGCTGCTATACAGCAGAGAATTTAAAAAAAATAGAAAAAAACTACTTTTATTTCTGGTGTTCATGAACCTACACAAAAATTTAATCAGTTTCACATATTTGCTCAGTGCAAACCCCAATGGCCCAGGAAGAAAATTATTGATGTTGTGTTGTCCCCTCAATATTACAACTTCACAGTTGCATACAACTATCTTATATTTCCTGCACATATAAAAGTAGTTATTAATTTGCTTTCAGCATTTTTTGCAAAAATTCTCCAAAAATTGACGGTTCCACATACAACGTTTTTTTTTTTTTTTCATATTGGCAACTTTCGTATGTAGCCGCCACTTCACACCGGAGGATTTTGTAAGCGGATCCACCACCAGCCGCCTTAAAAGTGGAGCTGTTCCTTCCCTGTTTGCCTGGAATAACTTCACTGCACCGGCAATGAGAGAGTCTGCTTTCAAGAGGGCTAAGAAACGGCAGTTTGTCCTCTCTCAGAAAGCTAGCCAGGCTGAAGATGCTACTGCGGCCCATGACTACACGGCACATCCACCCGCAGGTAAAATATAGAGGCCGGGGCGGTTGTGCGCATGCGCGGGCCCGGGGTGGTTGTGCGCATGCGTGATCCCCTGGCAGTTGTGCGCATGCGTGATCCCCGGGCGGTTGTGCGCATGCGCGGGGCCGAGGCGGTTGTGCGCATGCGCGGGGCCGGGGCGGTTGTGCGCATGCGCGAGGCTAGGGCTGTTGTGCGCATGCGCGGGGTTCACGCTTCCGGGTTTTATAAAGCGGATGTGGGATTGGACAACTTCCGGTGGCTATAGCGTTAGCATTAAAAGGCTAGGAAAATGGCTCAGTCTCAGCACAGTTGTTTTTCTTCAGTCTCTGGTTGTTCATGTGGGGCAAGAAAACAGCCTTATCTGTCATATCATGCGTTCCCGACGGACCTGGACTAACGGAGGCAGTGGATCCAGGCGATCCGAAGAGATGAAGGTCCGGACTTTAGCATAAAAACGGGGAGCACTTTCGTATGTAGCCGCCACTTCACAACGGAGGATTTTGTTAGCGGATCCACCACCAGCCGCCTTAAAAGTGGAGCTGTTCCTTCCCTGTTTGCCTGGAATAACTTCACTGCACCAGCAATGAGAGAGTCTGCTTTCGAGAGGGCTAAGAAACGGCAGCTTGTCTTCTCAGAAAGCTAGTCAGGCTGAAGATGCTACTGCAGACCATGACTACACGGCACATCCACCCGCAGGTAAAAGATAGTATATTGTATATATTTTCCATGTAAGAGAATTTCAGTAAAATATAACTGTTGCTATATTATTATTATTATTATTATTATTATGATCACATAATAATGAAATTATGAGATTATGTGGTTATGTATATTGTGGAGAGATTAAGTCAATAGCTCTATACATACATGCTCTGACTCACAACATGTATTGATCTTCACAGAAGTAATGTTTCCAATATAAAATTAAAAATTATTGCTAACTGTATATTTTGCTATTTTATTTTGTGGTTTTACAGGTGCACTTGATGAAGCTCTGGATTATATTAAGGAGTTGGAGGCCAGACTTCAAGAAGTGGATTTGTCTGCCACACCTTTCAGCCGCTACTGTGCTTCTGATGACCAGATCCTGTTCTACGCCAAATTTCCATCTGAATGTGTTTTTTCTGATCTTCTGGGAGTCCATTACACTCTCTGCATCACGCCTGGTCTACTGGACCAGCGCACAGAAACTTGGAGAGGAAGCATGTGCTGAAGCCAGCCCTGCCCGCTGCATGCCTCTGATTGATGAGTTCCTGATGTTCTCATTCAGGGTTGCTGTGGGCATGAAGGAGCAGCTCATTGCTGACATGTTTCAAGTCAGCATAGCTACTGTCAGCTGAGTGACCATCAGCTGGGCCAACTACCTCTTCATTGTGTTTCTTCCATCAACCTGTGGATTAGTCGTGAGAAGGTAAAAGCCAGTATGCCTCAGAAATTTCAGAAGTTTTCTCCAAATGTCCGTGTCATCTTGGACTGCACAGAAGTTGTTCTGGAAACGCCATCAGCCCTCACTTTACAGTCTGAAACGTTCTCTGCCTACAAGAACCACACCACTCTGAAAGGGCTGATTGGAGTTGCTCCCTGTGGGTTGGTGACATTTATTTCAGCGTTGTACACAGGCTGCATCTCCGACAAAGAAATAAAGAAGGTCAGTGGAATCCTTCCTCTGCTTGAGCTGGGAGATGAAGTCATGGCAGATAAAGGCTTCCTCATTCAAGACCTCCTTCATGAAGTTGGAGCCAAACTCATCATTCCACCATTTAGGCATCCTGGTCAGTTCAGCAAGGAAGAGACAGAGGAGACCCAGACCATTGCTCGGCTGCGGATCATTGTAGAGCGAGCAATCGCTAGAGTAAAGTGCAATGGAACCAGCTCCAAATGTGAAAGACCATCTAGGACAAGAGTGATAAGTGGTTGAGACTCCAGCTGGCGTAGATTTTCTCCTGATGCCAGAATGTTGGGATCTGGAAGTGGTCCTACAAACATCAGTAACATAATCAT